ACAAAAAGGTTGCCGGACGCTATTTTGTCAGCCTCCGTGGGAATTCGTTCATACTTATCTGCGCTCAGTACGACGGAAGCACTTACAAGGAGTCTGCTACCTGGGATGAAGTTGACTTGATCAAATCTTTTGAGAACTGGTTGCAGTTTGCCCGTGAAGATCCTTGGGGGCAACAGTTGTGGAGAGCTCCGCTGGCTATAAAAGATGTCGTGCACGAAGAAGCGCTCCTTCGAGCTGGTAACCGGCATAAATTACGCTCGCTTTATTTTACGGACCATCAAAGGGTTTTAAGCATGTCACATTTCAGATGCACGAATCACTGATGTGGTACATCCTGTGCTGGCCGAAATTTTACTTTTTCTGGATGTGCACGCCCAAGCGAAGGCCAAAAGGTCACTAGTTCTCGATTTATTTGCTGTAAATAAATTGCACAAACAATACATAGTAAAATATCCCCGTTAGGCGAATTTGCGCCAGATGAGCGCAAAATCTGAGTTGTTTAGTTTTTCACTTTTTATCGATATTTTAGTTGTTTGCTATTACAGTGCTTTATTTTGCATTCGCAAAGGTACTGTCCTAATGTCGGATCAAATAAACCGTAATTAATATCATCGTCTTTTTGAAAGGGTTTGCCAATTCTGGAAACAAATTTTATTATCTGCGACAGCGAGCTACCACATTATCATCAGCAGCTACAAGGCCTTGTCGTGGCAGTATTATCAGTTATACGCTTACGGACGAGTCTACCAGTTCGCCTGGTGCCTGGATCAAACCGTGACCGCGCAGACGCAGAGCATCAGCTTCACCGATATCACCACCAACACCAATTTCGATTTGGCAACTAAAATTGTAACGGAGTTGTCGACCGTCAAGAAAATTAATCTGCGTGTGATTCACATCCGCGGTGACGAGTCAGATGACGGCATGATCATCACCGATCGCGTGCCCACAGAGGAAAACCCGGGCTGTAAAATGGTCGGGCTAGAAAGAGGTCTGTGTCGACTTCGCACGGTTTGTCGGCAGCTGGTTATCAGCGATTACACGCTGACTTTCGTTTCCATGCTTATGAGCTGTATACGTGATTTATATTATGGTCTTCCGCAAAAGGCGGGGCGTGGTGGCAGGTCGGAAATCCAGATTGTAATTCCTCGTCTGGCCTTCCGCTCGACCGAGACCGATGAGCAGATACTGACGCGCTTCCTAGTTGCCGTTGATGATCACTGTCCTGATGTCACTACAGCTGTGTATGACGAAGTCCAGGCTATTTATCAACGATGGATGGTGACTTTAACGTATCCTGACGAATGGGAAGGTATTCGCGATTGTTTGAAAATGTAAGTTACTGCGCGTAAACTATTTGCTGCAACCTCATTGCGGTACAACGTAATACGAGTATGTTAAAAAAATCATGAATTGTGCTGAAGATTGGTTTCGTTGCGTTTTTGTAGTTATAATGGATTTCGATCCGAGGATGGTGGAGAAGCATGGAAGTCTGTTGATTTGCGAAGTCCGGATCTACGTTCGTTTACCAAGCTAGCAATGTGGAGTATTGTTGCCACATTCAAAAATTAATGGACAGTTGCTGTGTTTTACAGGCGTTGTGTTGTAAAGGCGTCAAAAGCCTTTATGGCGGCATTTTGTATAGTGGACAAGTAGTTTTTCATGGCATAGCAGTTTTCTCTGTTCATGGCATGTGATAGCCACAAATGAACCGTTTACACAGAAAAACAGATCAATATCCTCTAAACTTTCTCAGTGGTTTTAAAGTGGTCTGATCTTGCATGTTTGGTAAGTAGAAAATAAAACTAAACGAACTGTATAATAAAACGTACATACTAATAAAAATAAGAAAATACACCGCCGGTCAATTACCGGTCCTGGCGTAAGTCCGTGTACACGGAAGGGGCCATCAATGGAACACACTGGACAAAAACTGCAGATGCCCATCACTTCTCATAACTGAGTAGGGCTCGTTACGCCGCCCACTCTACCGTGATCACGGGTTTTTCGGTTTTTACGAAGTTGTTTAATAAATGTCACTTTTCAAGCAATTAACACTCGCATTGGTGTTTCTGACATTTACCTCACAGGGACTTCTATGTGTGACGGCGGGACAACGACGCTAATCTTCCAAAGGTACGGGTCCCTTTCAACCGTCTGCTCATCAGTCTGCGAAGAATTTCCGAAATAATTCTATACACCAAGTTATCTGTACCTCGCATAGTTAAAACATTCATTAGTGAAGAAATGCGAACGGAAAGCACTGCAGCAAATCAAGCCTACAGCATCGCACCGCACCTACTACGAAATTAGTACTACCTGGTACCTACAGCATAAGGCAACGAATTCAGAACGAAAAAAATAAATGCTGCGTAGCACCTCGTAAGATGTAACAGAAGGAGCTCAAAACTGCAGGAAAGGCTTCATATAAGAGGTGTACAGTAATCCGAGATGGAAGTTGCGAAGCATTACAGAATGTAAAGTAAACGTTTGGAAAATTCAGAACTGTTTATTTGTACCACAACAGCGATACTCACATACCGTATGCAGTTGGCTGATATGATGACCCTTGGAAGTTCGAATTACTCGCAAACCTGTGTGAACAGTAGTACCCTTACGTTACACGACGCGCTCAGTGGCACCCGACTTCTGGGTGACCACAAGGCCGCATTATCTCCTGGACTGACGCGGATTGTCAATAAGCTACTCATAGTGCTTTCACCAACGCCAGAATCTAATCGTTCTTGGAAAAATACTTGTCAAATTAATTGACAGGAAGATGAGCGACGAACCGTTGAATCACTTTGGAGGAGCCCAGTTCCATACAGATGCGACCGGAAGACAGCAGCCAATCTACTAGTGGTATTGTAGGATTACCGCAATAATTGTGTGACCGCAAAGGTCACCGGCGCGCTGTTACAACGATGAACAAAAACACTTACGCTTGAGACACGCATTCACAGGAATTCAAAGTCCAGCGAGGCCAGCGATCCAGCGTCCCGTCCCGCATTTCAAATGAACGCCGACGGACTTTTTAAGTCACCTTTCGGGTTGCACTAGCAGGAAAGCGTAACGGAATTCCTTAGGTGCGGCAGCTTTTCTTAGAGACGGATCCAGGTCCGTCCAGTTCAAATGCCAATAAGCCGCCTTCTAAAAACAGTGATCACGGATTTAGGCCAACCATCACTTAGCAATATTTCTCCTAACTTTTGGGATCAAAGTTAATAGGAAATAATTTTTGTCATCAAAATAAGTATGAAAGTATATACTAATTTTGTGTTCGAAATAAATAGGAAAGTTAATACTACTGTAATTTGTTTTATCAAAGTATACAGGAACGCAAGGCAGGCGATTATCCAACGCGGTTTATATATTGGCGGGTTATAGGAAATGTTGCCTTTTGTTGTTTAGTCCAAAGCCAAGAAACAGCATAAAAAAACACATCTGTCGTTGCTAGCAGCTTGCTGAGCTGTTACATTTACTCAGCTATCAGTGCTGCCCGCAGCCGTAAAGAATGCTGTTAAAAAGCAAGTACTGCATTTATATCGAAGACTACTCAGCAGAGTAGAAGAAAACCCTTCCGCAAGTTTGCAAAGGTAAAGCAAGCCTATATCCTTGTTGGGAGCAGGAAATAGGCAATTGATAATGCATATGATTAATCAAGGAATAAGTTATAGACATACGATTTAACAATAAATGTAACGCGCGGAGTGCCATGGAGCGCGTCCACAGATGCCGGTGGCGATCTCAAGGTGACCAGGAAAACGAATTCAAAGTAGCGCTGCATAGACAAAACATAAATTTACCGATTTCAAGTGGCAACCTTTTCTCGATCAACTATGTGTCAGAGACCGCTCACTTAAGACGGTAGACACGTCTTGTGGCTTGCTCTGTCGCCCGCACGCAGATGGCCACGCCACTCGTGCCGCGCTATTACGCTGATTGCTAAAGCATATACTTTGTCTACGCTGACCAATCAGCGTTGCTGTGCACTCGTGGGGGCGTAGCCCAGCGCTACGAGCGATCCCATGCTTTGCGGCCTCAGCTGATACGCAGCTGCAGCATGCCGGTCATTACGTTGATTTCCATGAGCTAGCTGGCACTGGCAGCTACATTTTCCTTCGGTTTTCCGCATTGGTTTTCTGTTGGTTTTTGTGGTTGCTTTATTGATACTCAATAAAGGCGCTATTTGCTCCCTTTTCCTCGTTGCTTTTGTGTTTTTTTGACATATGCCAATCCCATAAAAAATCTCTGCTCGTTCTGGAAAGAGCTATCACAGTTGCGAAAGTAATCAGAAACATGCTGCCACCTTCGTTAGCTTATTGCTGTTTCTGGATGCCTAACGATGCAGTCTTCTAACGTCTTCTAACGATGCAGCCGGTCATATGATCGCCAGGGTCGGCTGATTATATGTACAAAACTAGAAAATTTTATCAAACTGCATCAGCTGAAAAACTGCAAACGAAACCATACTCTTCCGTGGGAGTACCATTGCAAGGTGAAAACATGCCTGTTCCCTTTCAGGGGCAGTTAAGAGCGAACTGAGCCGTATATCTTCTATACATGTACTCGTATTGAAGTTTTTCAAACTTTTATTTCAAACGGTCAAACTTTATTTTTAATAAACTGACTGGCCGTAAGTAAGCCTTTCCAACGGCAGATCACTGACGTAGCTGAGGCTCTAGTGCGGCGGTCACGCTACCGCCGTACGATCTGAAATTCGGATCGGATAGAATCATAAAACTCTGCATGATTCCAGTCCGATGCCCATATCCCAATTAGGCATGGACAAGATTTTGTCGAGCTGTATTCATTGTTAAAACAAAAATTTAATATCACTTGAGCGACTGTGTTGATTTTAACATGTTTTTTTTTATTTCTTTTGATCACTTATTGTCAGTGTGTCTGTAGCATAGCAACGATATGTTGCACTTATGACTTTATATTACACGATGATATGATGTTGTCATATTACATAATTAATAAGAAGACGTCAGAGAACTAAGTAAAGTCATGACAAACTTGGCGTGAAGGCCATTTTGTGGTATTCAACGAATGTCTCTGGACGATATTGGTATTGATTATACCACGAACGTGTTGACCACGTCCGGCCCGTCTACTATGGCAAAAGCAAAGGAATCCCCGACGCTGCTCAAGTTCGAGCCAGGCTCCATGGTGTGGAAAGCATGGCGCTCCCGTTATAACAATTATGTTAAGATACAGGAACTCACCACGGAGGACGATCAAAAGCGGCTGCTATTGGACTCACTAGGAGTGGAAGCACATGAGATGTTGTTTGCCATGTGTCTTCCTCAGGATCCCGCGGAGCTGAAGCTGGATGAAGTCATCGCCCATCTCGAACATGCTTATGTTAAAAAAACGCTTTTTGTCGAGCTGTATTCATTGTTAAAACAAAAATTTAATATCACTTGAGCGACTGTGTTGATTTTAACATGTTTTTTATTTATTTCTTTTGATCACTTATTTTGATAATTTTTTGTTATTATTATTTATTTTTGATTATGAATTCCAAACATTAAATTACTTTTTGCAATTTATGTTATGGCTGCAGCTTGGCGCCTGATCGTGAATACGGTACTGATGCATGCTTCCACGGAGAAAAATCCAGTTAGGCTGCCAGAGCTCTCTCGGCTCCCTCCGGACCCTAAAGTGCATGTGCGCCGCCCTAGCCTGGACGAGACGATTAGTCTGGTTTGTGTGGCTGGCCTAACGCCGCCAAATAATGTCGCGTGGAAACACAACACTCACCTGTCAGCCGCCCAGCAACCCGGGGTAACCTTCAGTACAGCCGCACCGGCGGCAGCACTCTGATCCTGCACAATGTCACCCTCGCGGCGTGGGGCAAATTCGAATGCCTGCAGCGATGTCAGCAGGACGGGACGGAAGCGTGGTGCCTACTGGGGGAAACCTGGGTGTTTCCTAAGCCTACAACTAGATACCACGAGGTGTTTGCGCAGCGCATGCCGCGTGTCATTGTTCCGCGGTACATGCCAGTTTCTGTCACTTGTCAGCTGGATTTCCCCTGCGGTCCTGACCCGCAGCAACACTTTATCTGGCGCTATGACGGCGTATTTCTGAGCTGGCCATCCGGTCACTACCTGCAGCAGACGTCCTGCATCGACACTCACCGGCATACGCTGATGATCCACACTAACGCCTCCGAAATAACCGGGACTGACGGCCGCCCGCACTGCGCCTCGACTCTGACGCTGCACGTGCCCTGGCCAGAGCACGCCGGCGGCCAGTTGGAATGCTGAGCGTGCTCCGACACCACCCAGCAACTGTGGTACGTCCACTCCACTTCCGTCCAGTTCAACGGAAGCCTCCCCTTCCCCGGATAACCGCTGGCAGTAATCCTAACCTGACGAAACATTTATTCACTTATAATATAATTCCATGGGTTAACCTGAAATTATAGTCTGTTTTTGTTTTTACATGCAACTCCCGATGAAATGGATAATACAGTTTTAACTGGTAACTGTCGATTACTGAGATACAATAATGATTGCTGCTGGTTTCTCATGGTACATTACGAATAACATTTTAGCAGCTCCTTTGAGAAATACCTGCCACATTTGCTAAATTATGCATCGATCACTTTAACGAAGGGTCTGCTGTATTTGGATTTCTTAGATGTAATTCCTTAACAATTATCTATGAAAATAATTTTCGATGGTGTGATTCGTTACTGGAAGGAGGCCGGCTCATTAACCTGCCTCGCCGGTCTGCATCTCGCTAACCTGGATACATTTTCATTTACGCACGAAAGAAGCCATGGTAGCCGTAACCTCCACAGGTCATTGCAGATGCCACAATGGCCTGTGGGTATCTGCCAGTGGCTGTGGCCTGTGGCCACCTGTTTGCCTGTACTTTTTGCACTGCACGCATGACATACAGGTTTTCCTCATTTTGCGGATGCGTTCGGTGATCTTGACCTGAACCTTGAAAACTGTAACTCCATTCGATTTTTTCAGGCTGGATACTTTTCCTTCCCTTTCATGTTTCGCAGTTATCGTGCTCGCGGCCATTCGCAATGAGCACGCAAATGTATCCATTCCGAAGACCGAAAAGCGGGCTTTGGGAGTTCAACAATGGTACTATGGTAATGGTTAAGCGCGACACCGGCGAATGGTGGTTGGGATTCATTCAGGATGTTGATGAAGACACAATGTTGATTGATTTCGATTCCACCATCGTGCCGGCTGGCTGGATCCATTCACGCCACATTTGGGGCTTTTGGGGTTTCGTGAATTATACGGAGGCATATGCAGCGGATAAAGTTATCAAAGAAAAAGGCAATGTTGCAGTCCAGGTGGCGCTACGCAGTGAAGAGAACGGGCCATATATATTTCGACCGGCGTGGATTATTGCACCGACAGTCCGTTTGGGAATGGTGTACGTTCGCTTGGACGATGCAGCTGCCTCTCAGTGCATGATACATAGTCCACTTGTGGCAAGTTGCTGAAAGCTCGGCGTTTGATCATCCATCACTGTTCGAGCCAAATCCTGGCGGACTGTACTATAGGAAATGCGTAATACCGTTAGTTAATGCCAGCGCAGTCAGTCTCAGAAGCTTCTGGGATCTAAATGCCGTGAGAATCCTCATTGATACGGGCAATACGGTTGCATTTCCGCAGGATAGGGAGAGTGAAATATACTTTTACAATATCGCTGCTTTCAGACACTATTTCGTGAGCGCCAGGGCAAATACGCTGATGCTTATAGTTGCCTGTACTTACGACGACGAAAGCTCTCATGGCGATCCAGGTGATTGGGATACAGCTGGCTTGATGAAAGCGTTTGATCAAAATGACATAGACTCTTATGGCAATTCGGTGGACTGGGATGTAATTGGTTTAATGGAAACGCTTGAGAGATGTTTGCAGTGGTTCCGCAAATATTTTGCGCCAGAGGGACTGTTATGGAGAGCTGTGCTGCCTAAAAGAGATGTCGTGCACGACAAACCGCTAGGTAATGCGCATAGGCATTAATTATCTTATTTTCCCTTGGTGTTATGGCACAGTTCAAATTTTTTCCAACGATGGGTACTTGCAGATGCAAACATCAGTGATATCGCACTTCCTGTGCTAGCTCGGTCGCTTCTCTTTCTGGATATGCATGCTCAATTCGTGGCCAAAAGGTACTTTTTGAGGGTACAGGAAAACTTTTGGTCAAAGTACCTTACTGGCTACTGCGAAGTAATTTACGCATATTTTCTATACGAGTACGATAATTTACTGTGCTCCTTAGTCGCTGACTCGTTGGCCAAGTTCTGAGGTTAAATTTTTAGGTTTATAGTAATAAATTAGTTGTTACGGTTGGTACCTGCTCTGATGAAAATTAATTATGCCGTATATTTTCGTGCCGATGACTGAATTCGCGATCAAAATGCGATACCAATATCTCCTTCTTCTTCAAGGGTTTGCCATTTATGGTGGCAGCTGCTTTCAACAGCACAAGCAAGCCATCACATTGTCATCAACAGCTACATGGCCGTATCCTGTCGGCGGTATTATCAGTTCGCTTGGTGCCTGGACCGAGTTGTGACCGCGCAGACTCAGAGCATCAGTCTCACCGATTTCACCCGTAATACCAAATTCCAATTGATAACAGAAATTCTAAAGGAGTTGCTGACCGTGCGAAAAAATTCAGCTACGTGTAATTCATATCCGGGGTAATTCCTCGGAGGATGGCATGATCATCACCGAGCACGAGGCCGAAAACGGGAATCCGGGCTACGGAAAAGTTGGCCTAGACGATAATCTGGGTCGACTTCTCACCGTTTGCCGGAAGCTGGTCGTAAGCGATTATACGCTTACTGATATGTCCACAAAGATGCGCGACATATGTAATTCGCACGGCCATACGGAAAGGTTGCGTTCTGCCGGCACCTTGGAATTTCAGGTTGTTATTCCCCGCCTGGCCTTCCGCTCAACCGAGACCGACGAGCAGATACTACTGCGTTTCTTATTTGCTGCTGAGGATAACTGTCCTGCTGTCACGGCGGCAGTCTACGACCAGGTCCAGACTATTTATCAACGATGGATTGTGACTTTAACATATCCCGACGAATGGGATGCCATCCGCGCTTGTTTAAAATTGTAAGTATAAGTACTATTACAAAAATACGTGTACCCCGTCTGCAACAGCCGCAAATATAATCGACGAAATTCTGAAGCGAAATCTGCACGAAATGATGAACACTGAGTTTGTTAATTTTTACAGTTACAATGGATTTCGCGCAGATGATGGCGGAGCAGCGTGGGAGGCTGTTGATCTGCGCACTCTGGATTTCTATTCATTTACCAAGCTGGCAATGTGGAGTATTGCCGCCACCTTCAAAAGTTTAGAAAATTATTAACGTCTTTTTGCGAATAAACAGCGGTTGCCGGCAAGATAACAGAAGAATAATATTCAATAATTATTCCCGGCCGTAAGGCCCTTAACCAAGTGACCTAATGTGTAGTAGTAGGATCCACGGCGCGATGTGCTGCGCTGCTGATAATGTAAGATTATTTGACCTTTTGACCTGTTTTACTCAAAGTGCCTATAGCAATCTTTTTGCTAGTCTGATGCGTATCTCCTGCAGACTGTCAGCTGCTTTGTGCCTTACTGAGCACTGATAAACGAACAGGAAGGAACGTATGAAACTTTCAGTGCAAGAATAAAACCAACAGCATGCGTAGCATGCGCAACCAGATCACCAGCATGCGCACAAACTTGCAATCATATCTGCGTAGAGTAAAATTTATCTTAATTTTATATGCTGCTGCATTAGTGAAGGACCTTCACTGAAGGTCATTGGAGCAACAGCATTTACATGCAACAGTACATAAAGTGGCCAAGAGTATATCGAAACATCCAGACGTCGGCGTCTTTAGATACTCGTTCATAATAGCTATTTGTGAATCTGATTTTTTTACGGGCTCGTTTGCTGCTGAGCCGTTGGAACTGCCCGTTTTGTCGCTTTTGGAAATCTAAACGTTTCCCATTATTATATTCAGTCTTCCCTTCGCGACCATTTGCAATGGATACGTATGCGTATCCATTCCGAAGACCGAAAAGCGGGCCTTGGGAGTTCAACAATGGTACTATGGTAATGGTTAAGCGCGACACCGGCGAGTGGTGGTTGGGATATGTTCAGGACATCGAGGGAGACGAGATGCTCATTGATTTCGATTCCACCGACGCACCCGCTGACTGGATACATTCGCGGCACATTTGGACTCACCGGCATCTGGATGGTTACACGCAGCAGCAAAACATCGATAATAAAATTAAAAAAGAAGGCAGCGTTGCCGTCCAGGTGGCGCTACGCCGTGACATGAATGGACCGCATATTTTTCAACCCGCCCGGATAATTGTACCGACTGTACACTTGGGAATGGTTTACGTTGCACTGGACGCGGAGGCTGCGCAGGCGGACATGGCTGTCCATTTCTGGCAGGTTGTCGAGAATTCGGCATTTAATTATTCATCACTTTTCCAGTCTAATGGTAAAGTATTGTATTATCGAAAATACGTCATCCCCATAAAGAATGCCAGTCGCCTGGAACGCTTGGACCTAAAAGCCGTAAGACTGCTTATTAATTCGGCTGCAAATGGTCGGATTGAGAACACAATATACAGAGACGAGATTACAGAACGTTATTTTGTGAGGCTCCGTGCGAATACGCTTGAGTTTATCTGTGCTCAGCACGAAATGTACAGCGGAAGCTGTTACGACGGTTCGTCTAGTTGGGAGGCAGATGACTTGATCAACGCGTTTGAGAAGCTGTTGCTGTGGTCCGAAGACCATCCTGCACCCGAGCGATTGCTATGGAGGGCCATGCTTCCTATAAAAGGCGCTGTGCATGAAGAGAGGATTTTTAGATCAAGTGTCCGGTATATATTAGGTTTTCTTTTCGTTGCATTACAGTGATATGAGTCTGTCAAATTGCAGACATGAGAATCGCTCATTTGGCCCATCCTGTGTTATCTGAAACGCTGCTCTTTCTGGATGTGCACTCCCAGGCCAGGGCCAAAAGGTGAATGCGAATTATAAATTATCGCACAAAAATTGCATTAAGAATAGCGACGTTACGCACGTTCTTCGTGCAGGAAGTTATCAATTTAGTTTTAGTCCATAACTAGTTGGGTTCGATAGTTGAGTTTTTTATGCACCGACCCCAGCGCGATCATCTCCTTCCTTTTTTTCCACAAAAGCGTCAACTTTCGACCTTCACGTTCCGTAATGTTATTGCTGCCGACTACGTTGGGCTGATGTTGTTGTTTCTGCTACGCAGCTACATTCTCAATGTTTTATTTCGCTTCGTTGCTTGATTTGTGTTGTCTGTACACTAGAGTGAGCACCTGCTCCGTGTACAGGACAACAGACTTCCATTATAAAACAATGCCGGAATATGATATAAAACAGCAGTAAATAATAAACATCGGAAATAATATTTTTGGTTGGCATCGTGTTGAAATGTACCGCAATGTGCAA